CCTCCTGAGTAGCCAGAATGACAGGCTTGAGCCACCAGCACTCGGTCTCGAGCTATATAAGAACCCCACAATGGCACAGCCCCTCTTGGCCTAACACTAAAGACTGCCCACTAACGACATACCTGCTCTGGCCAAGATGGGCATTGCTCTTGTCGAGCCTGGGAGCCAAACCCTGGCTTTTGGGTCTTCTGTAAAAATGGGGTCTCTACGTTTCCCCTTTCCCATTTTGGTTCACACAGCCTTGCTTTTTCCCTTAAGTCCAGCATCTAGGAGAACTTTCCTTCATGGTCCTACATCCATCCAAGTGTGTTGGGGCAGGGGGAGGAGTCAGGGGTAAGAGAGGAAACTTACACAGACTTGAGAGATGAGGGGGAGGGAGGTGCTGCCCCCCCCCCCCCCATGAGACACTGACAAGAGAAAGACCTCAACAGGACAGACAGACACCTATTTCCCTTCCCAGGGAAATCAAGATTTCCTCATCTAGAGGCTAGGGGGTGGGCTGGGAAGGTGACTCAGTGGTAGAGTGCTCGCCTAGCATGCACAAAGCCCTGGTGTTCGATTCCTCAATACCCCATCCACAGAGAAAGCCACAAGTGGCGCTGTGGCTCAAGCGGTAGAGCGCCAGCCTTGAGATCCTGAGTTCAAGTCCCAGGACTGGTAAAAAAAAAGAGGTGCACTCACCAGAAGACATTCAAGCGGAGCACGTGTGGGACAGGGCTGTGTTCTCCTGTACCTCATTATCTCCCCCACCCAGGGCCGGCCTCCCTTTTTGGATTAAATGCCCTCCGACTTTCATCTGATACCTGATGGTCCCTACACCAGGCTCTCCCCCTCCCCCAACTCCAACATGTCCCTCTCCCCACCCCCCTCCTTTAGACTGGACACCATTTCCTCCTGATGGATGTCTCGATGGAGGACTGGAGATCTCACACCAGTTCTGGACTAGGACTTCCATTTTCTCCCTTGGATGGGGCCTGAGCTCAAGTAGAGACTCAAAGAGGCGCCTCCCCGCCCCCCCCCACTCCCCCTCCCCCAGCCTCAAACCCTGGTCTGGGCCATCCAGGGGTTGGTAGAAGAAGTAGGAGGCCTTGGCCAGGCCTGGCAGATGGTCAGGTGTCTGTTTGTCTTGAGCCAAGGCTGAGGCCAGGTGGCCATGTCTCCCTTCACAGCCTCCCAGAGATCAGCCAAGCCACAGGGAACATGTAAACACCAGCACAACTTGCTGTTGGGGGAATACGGACAAAGGGGGTGTAGGGGGACATCGAGAAACCCCCCCCCCACTTTGCAGCCTCCTGGGTACGATGTCCAGGCACCTGGTAAGGCATCCACGGACTCCCAATGTGTGGACCATGTGTCCAGATGCCACCTGCCGGGGACAAGGGGGCAGGTCTGGCCTCTCCTCTCTCTTTAGCTCATCACCCCTGGCCTAAGTTGGTTTTCTGAAGGCCTGGAGAAGGAATGCACTTTCTAGGGGACCCTTTGTCTGGATTTGGGGGGTGTGGGGGGTGCTGAGGCTAAATCGATCTCAGGCCCAGAGTATATGGTCTGGGAGTTCCAGAGCTAGCCAGGCCTGAAGACAGGTCTGATGCTGGGGATGAGTTGAGGGGCTGGGGATGGGTGGGGGGAAGATAGGCATTGCTGAGCAGGCTCCAGCACAAAGGCCATGTCTCCTGGGCCAGCTCCAATAGGACCATCCAGCCCAAGGCTACTTCGCCATGGCCAATAGAAACAAACGGCTTGTGGGGCGGGTACTGATGGCCCATGAGATCTCCAAAGAAGACTCCAGAGTCAGGCTGGGAAACTTGGGCTTTTGTGGGGAACACTGACAGCAGAGCCTCGTGGTAAGCATAAAGAGATTGAAGCTAGACGCTGATGGCGGCTCACGCCTGTCATTCTAGCTTCTTGGGAGGCTGAGATCTGAGGATCGTGGTTCAAAGCCAGCCCAGGCAGGACAGTCTGTGAGACTCTTATCTCCAGTGAACCACTACAAAACCAGAAGTGGCGCTGTGGCTCAAGTGGTAGAGCGCTCGCCTTGAGCTGAAGAGCTGAGGGACAGCGCCCAGGCCGAGTTCAAGCCCCAGGACTGACTTTTAAAAGGAGAAAAATTGTAGATAAACCACCAGGAAGATGGACAAGAGCCCCTGGTTTGGGGGCTATACAGATGGGCTATGCTCTAGGGAGGCTCCTGGGGCTCGAACTCAGGGCTTTGGGTGCTGTTCCTGAGGGTTTTTTTACTCCAGGCCAGTGCTCTACCACTGGAGCCACAGCTCTATTTCTGGCTTTTCTGGTTGGTTTTGGTGGTTTACTGGAGATAAGAATCTTAACAGATTTTCATGCCCCAGGTTGGCTTTGAACTTCAGTCCTCAGATCTCTTGCCTCCTGAGTGGTTGGGATTACAGGCGTGAGCCACCAGCACCAGACTGCCAGCTCTCTCTCACACATAAATCTGTGCTCTAGATTGCCCAAAACAAGTCCAAGGTCCCCTCCAGCTTCTAGCCTTTGTAAGTCAGGGGATAATGAGGGCATGGACCATAGTACCCTAGCCTTTACTCAATCCCCAACAAACTCACTTTAACAAGATAGAGGGGTCCATTGTGCGTGAGTTTCTGTGTGTGTCTGTTTGAAGGTATGTATAGACGTGTATTTATTTATATTTGTGTCTGTCTGTAGTTCCACTCAGTAGTTAAGACTTGTGTCTGTGCCTGAGTGTCCATGTATATTTATATAATGAGTCTGTATATGTCTTTGTGTGTGTGTGCACGTGCATATGCGCCCGTGTGTCTATTTTTTGCTCATATGTGTCTGCAGACATATGTGTGTCTATTTATGAGTGTGTGTGTATGTATGTGTGTCTGTGTGTGGACCGATGGTCTACGAATGCCGCCTGTGGGTGGAATTTGGCTTCCGACCGTGTTTGGTTTGGCTCTTGCAGTATTTTCAACATCTTGAGCCAACATTTAAAAAAGAAAGAAAGAAAAAAAAATCAGGATATTTCACATAAAAATTCAGCTTTCCAGTTTCTCTTAAAAAATTCAGAAGCTCTGGCGGTGTGGAGGCCAGCGTTCCCCTGGGGATACTCTCCTCCCGGGCTGGGCAGGACTGACCTCTCTCTTCCGTCCTCCTGATTTTGTGTGTGTGCATGTGCGTCGGTCCTGGGGCTTGAACTCAGGGCCTGGATACTGTCCTTCAGCATTTTTTTTTTTTTGCTCAAGACTGGCAGTCTTATTACATTTGACCCATAGCTCCACTTCCGGCTTTTTTGGTAGTTCATTGGAGAGAAGAGTCTCACAGACTTCCCCTGCTGGGGGCTGGCTTTGAACCGCGATCCTCAGGATCTCAGCCTCCAGAGTACAGGTGGTAATAAGCCATAGGTGCCTTGTCGCCCTTCTGATTTTCTTCTTTGGGGTGCCGGGGAATTGAACCCACCAGGATCTTGACAAATGAACTCAAGAGTGTGAGATCACGGTTAAGATGCAGGCCTGGCTTATTTTTTTTTAATTGGGGGGGAGGGGAGGGCGTGCACGGACACGTGTGTGCAGTATTTGCACGAGTACACTTGTGCTTGTGTGCACATGTGAGACGCAGAGGCCAGTGAGTGCTGGGATACCCCGTGTGTGGTGGAGCGTGTGCGTCGAAGTGCACACGCGCATGTGTGTGCGCACGCGCAGGGGGCCTGTGGCCAGGGGCTGGGCCATGTGGTGTGTGTGGGCCACTGCGGTCTGGCAGGTTCTTCACAGGGCCTCTTCCGGCCTTTGAGGGGGAATTGGATTCCCAGCTCCTGGCTGAGCTGCCTTGTGGGATTTATTTCTGTCTCGGTGCCCGTTGGAGGCCTGAGTAATGGGAACGTTTAAAGAAAACCGGTAAGTACGGGCAGAAGGGACGGGCTGGCTGAGAAAACGCAGCCCAGACACCCCGAGTCAGCTCATGCTGGCCACAGCCCAACCTCGCCCCCAGAAAGGAAGTGAACCCGGAACTCTAGCACACACCTCTGTATATCCCAGGATGCCATTCCTGTCCACCCAAGCCCATCAGGGCCGGGGAGGAGGGGGACACACCCTACTCCACAGCACCTGAGGGCCTCTGGGTCAGTAGTGGGCATCTTGGGCGCTTGGTTCCACAGAGCAGGTGTTTGGGGACCTGGTGTAAGGCCTTAGGGTCCTCTGCCAATGAGGGCACAGTGGGGGTATACTCCTAAAGGCATTGTATCTATGCATGCTTCCCACCGTTCTAGGCAGGAGGTGACACTGGGATCCTGTAGGGGTGAGTCTTCAGGATTGGGGGGAGGGGGCATAATAAGACAGCACCCCCCCGCCCCCCCCCCCCCCCCCGCCCAGACCTGGCCTACCTGAAGTGACGGACATCCTCAGGATGACTCGGGTTTCCCCACTGACTCAACCCACCCACTGGATCTTCTCTAATGACCCGATTAACGAGGGACACGGGACGGGATGGGGAGGGGGGAAGATGGAGGGAGGTGGGGGCTTCCGCGTGCTGCCGTCGGGAAGCGCAGGCAGAAGCTGGAGACTCTCAGCTCTTGCTGCCATCTAGTGGCCGTGTGAGGACTGCAGGAGAGTTTATTTATTTATTCATTTGTTATTTTATCTTTCATTCATTCATTTTATTTATTTATTTATTTTGCCAGGCCTGAGCTTGAACTCAGGGCCTGGGCGCTGTCCCTGAGCCTATGTTCAAGGCTGACGCTCTACCACGTGAGCCACAGTGCCATTCCCGGCCTTTTCTGTGTATGTGGTACTGAGGAATGGAACCCAGGGCTTCATGCATGGCTAGGAGAGCACTCTACCACTGAGCCACCTTCCCAACTTCCCTATTTATTTTTGTGGGTCCTGGGGCTTGAACTCAGGGCCTGGACACTGCTGTCCCTGAGCTCTCTACCACTTTGAGCCACAGCGCCACTTCTGGTTTTCTGGTAGTTCACTGGAGATAAAGCGTCTCATGGGACTTCCCTGGCCAGGCTGGCCTTGAACTGTGATCCTCAGATCTCAGCCTCCTGAGTATAGCTAAGTGTGAGCCACTGGTGTCTTCCAGACACACACACACACACACACACAAACACTAGCAGACATCTAGCCTCTAGCAGGAGCCATGCTAAGCATCGCTTCTGTGGCTTTCTTGCCTTAAAGCATCCCAGACACCAGAACACACTTCACTGGCTTCTACCACATGTGTGGGTTGACTTTTCTCTCTTTCCAGAGGTTAAAAAAAGCAATCAGAATGTACATATATGTACAGATGCAGGCCCGCCCAGAGCTGGGGCTGGCTCCGACCCTGGGGAGACCAGCTGACCTCGCTCCGCGAGGGGTTCTTTCCTGCAGGGGCCTGGCTCAGGGCAGGAAGAGTAGAGGTGGTGGACGGCCAGTTCCCGCCTCACCCTGCCCTCCGTGCTCCTCCCACGGGACCGGCCTGGTTGGAGAGATGGAGCCAGGGCCGGCCTCAGTCGGAGTCGCAGGCCTCCTGTCCTGTGGGGGCATTCACGGCTGAGGCCAGGCTGTCCTCCTGGCCTTTGAGCCGCTCACCTGGAAGGCAGGCAGACAGACAGATGGACGGAAGTAAACCAGTGCCCTGTGCTTGGACCATCAGCCCTCCCCCTTGCCCCCCCCAGCCAGCCAGGGCGGCACTTACGGATCAGCTCAGCGATGGCTCTCTGGGTCCTCTTTTCAAGTTTCTCCAGTTTCTTGGCCACATCTCTCTTAAGGTCCCTGGAGCAGGGAGGAGGGGAGGAGGGAGGCTGAAGGCTAGCCCTGGGCTGTTTATCTGTCTCTGCTCCCCGCCCATTGAGCCCCAGTTCCAGCCAAGGGGGACCACATGAGGGATGTGCAAGGGTAGATCCCGCCCTCCTCCCCCAATCAGAACCCCGGAATCACCATTAGGGGGTGACATGCCACTGTGGGCCACCACCTCCTCAGGCCACAGGCTCCCCCCCACACCCCCCCCCCCCAGGAGATTCCAGAAGCCCACTCAGCGTGCTTTGTCTGTAGCTCTGGAGTTTCCAGAACACGTGCCTCCGGCTTTGCTTCAGCGAATTCAAGCACCCCAAGTGGGTGCTTGATCCAGCAGCAGACGGCTCAGAGTTGTAATGAGAAGGATATGACCCCTCTAGCCATATCCTTCAGGCCCACAGCGCCCTCTAGGCTTGGAGGACAAGCACTCCATTCCCACAAGGACGAAATGCAATGAAAGGACTTTATTTTTATTTTTTTTTGATTCTTTTTTTGCCAGTCCTGGGGCTTGAACTCAGGGCCTGGGCGCTGTCCCTGAGCTGCTTTTGCTCAAGGCTGGCGCTCTACCCCTTGAGCCACAGCGCCACTTGCCGCTTTTTCTGTGTATGTGGTGCTGAGGAATCGAACCCGGGGCTTCGTGCATGCTAGGCGAGCGCTCTACCACTGAGCCACCTTCCCAGGCCCAGAAAGGGGCTTCTTGAGAGGACTTTCTGCTCCCCCGTTTCCCTTCCCCAGCACCACCTGTGGGAGTTCTGCTCAGCATTTATGTCTGTCTGCCTTGTACACCTGGCCAAGCAACACTCACCAATCAGGCTTCCTCGGTGCAAGATTAGCCAGATCCTGGGGGTAGGGAAAATCAAAAAAAAGATACCTGTCAGGCAGGGCCTAGAGGACCCTCGCCCCAGGGGAGGTGGGGATACAGGACAGGAGGAAGGAGGGACTTGCGGGCGGGTAGGGAGGTAAAAGGGAAATGGTAACGTGGGAAGGAAGGGCTGGGAAGGCGGCTCCGTGGTAGAGCGCTTGGCCTCACATGCATGACGCCCTGGGTTTGAGTCTTCAGCACCACATCCGCAGAAAGAGCCGGAGGGGGCGCTGTGGCTCGTAGAGTGCTAGCCTTGAGCGGGGCTTACATACTCACCACTTCTTCAATGACAGGCTCGGGCTTGGCCGCCTCCAGCTGCTCCTTCACCTTCTCCTCCACTAGAGGGCGCAAGAGGAACACGGGCCTGTGGGACCTGAGGGGCCAGTTACCCATCCCACCCCCGGTGGGGGGGGGGGGGGGCATCTCTCCAAATGTTCCAGAGGCAAAGCCCTGGTATCTGGGTTTCCCAGGAGGCCCCCAGACGGGTGTAGAAAGGGAGAGCAGGAAGCTTGTCAGCTAGACAGTGGGGGGGGAGGGGGGGGAAGGGGATGAGGAGTTCTGGGGCGTGCGGTGTTGGGAGAGGATTGTCCCCTGTGTCCTGACCCAGCCTTTCCTCCCAGTCCACCTCAGGAAGGGGACCTCAACCCAAGCTGTGGCTGGTAGTACGACTACTCTCTGGGTTAGAGATGAGCACTAACAGCCAGAGGCACTGCGGGCTGCTCCCCTGCTATTGGGGGGATCCCCCCCCTCGACTACCCTCCTTGGTCCTGTTTCTAGCCAGGCGTGGGTCTGCATTCCTCTCCCAAGGCCTGCCCTGCAATGTCACCATCCCACAATGTGCCACTTGGAGGGGGAGGGGGGGTAGATCAACTGGGAAGGAAGCAGGCCCAGGGCTGAAGGACCTTTTTGCTTTTTTTTGCCACTCCTGGGGCTTGAACTCAGAGCCGGGGTGTCGTCTGAGTCTCTCTGTGCTGAAGGCTGGCGCTCTGCCACTTTTGAGCGACATACAGCCCCACTTCCAGCTTTTCCTGGCGTGGTTTATTGGAGCTGAGCGTCTTATGGACTTTTCTGCCTGGGATGGCTTTGAACGGCGATCCTTAGATCTTTTTTTTTTTTTTGGTCATTCTTCAGCTCAAGGCTGGCGCTCTACCCCTTGAGCCACAGCACCACTTCTGGCTTTTTCTGCTTCTGTGGTGCTGAGGCATCGAACCCAGGGGCCTCATGCATGCACCTTCCCAGGCCAACGATCCTTAGCTCTTAAGTCTCCTGTGTCGCTAGGATTACTGGGTCACCTCCGCCGCAGGGAGCCAAAGCAGACCCTTTTTCCTTGTCCGGCTTGGCCAGGTCTTGCTACTGTTCTCTGGGACAGCAATGCGGGGTACTACAGTGTGCCCCCCCACACCTCTGCCCTGGCACCAGCCAGTTTGGGGGGGGGGAGGGCGGGTCGCCTACCTGCCACGGGTTTGGCCTGGGGTACCCTCCTCCTTTTCAGATCCTCGTCCTCAGGGACGTAATTGCGCAGCCTCAGTTCCCTGTGAGCGGAGGATGTGCCGATGTGGAGGTGTCCTGGCCACACCCCCTCCCAGGAGGTGGCTCCTCCTCCCTCACCGGACACCAAGCTGGACTCACTACTCCCCCCCACCTCCCCAGGCCCTGTCTGTCTGCACTGGAGGAATGCGGTTCCCCCAAAGGCTGGGGGGGGGGGGGGGAGGTGGGTGTTGGCTGAGAATAGTCATTAGTATCTCTCTCTCTCCTGGATTAGCTCCACTGAAGTGGGGGCGGGGAAGGGGGGTGTCTGAGAGACTATACACCTCTATCATGAGGCACCCAGGAGTAACTGCACCTCTGAGACCCAAAGCTAGGTGTGACTTCCAGCAGAGGCCCAGTTCTGGGGATGAGTCACCCCTAAAATGAAAAAAAACAAAAACCAAAAAAAACCCCAACAAACTCGCCTCACCAGATGTGGTGGCTCACGCCTGTCATCCTAGCTTCTCTGGAGGCTGAGATCTAAGGATCGCAGTTCAAAGCCAGCCCCGGCAGGAAAGTCTGTGAGACTCTGATCGCCAATGAACCACCAGAAAACCGGAAGTGGCGCTGTGGCTCAAGTGGTAGAGCGCTCACCTCGAGCTGAAGAGCTGAGGGACAGCGCCCAGGCCCTGAGTTCAAGCCCCGAGGCCTCTGGGCCTTACAGCCAGGGGGCTATGCCAGATTTGGGGGGCAGTGGCAGCCTAGCCCGGATGAAGGAGGCCCGGCCGACCCTCCTAGAGCCTGAGCCTAAGGCCTGGCCCCCCTCCCAGGTCTGGGGGTGAATGTTGGGGGTCACTGAGGCACAGGGCGAGAAAGCAGGGCATGACCTCTTGAAGTGGCTTCTGTTCTTCGCCGGGTGGGGACAAAAGAGGAAGAGAAACTAGGTGTGGGGGGAAAAAATGCAGGGATTAGTGAGAAAAAAAAATTAAATATTAAAAAAACAAAACAAAACAACCCAGCTCCAGGTACTGTGTGAAACGGGCGGGCGGGAGGAGAGGGCAGGATGGGGGGCGGGGCAGGCCTGCTGCCCACTGGTCACAGGAACCCCTGGGTCCCCGCTGATCTGAGACAGTGCCATTCTGGGTGCTGGCTTGTGGGCATGGAGTCTCTGCTGGGTATTCTCGGCTCCGAGGCTATTAGGTTCAATCCTTTTTGCTTTGGGCCAGTAGGACTTGAACTCAGCCCCATTCACTCTCACTTGACCTTTTGGCTCAAAACCGGTCCTCAACCATTTGAGCCACACCAGTGCTTCTGGCTTTTTAGTGGGTAACTGGAAATAAAAGGATCGCTCAGGTGTGTCTGCCCGGGGTTGGCCTGGAACCCCCATCCCCCAGATCTCAGCTGGGATGACAGGCGTGAGCCACCAGCGCCTGGTTTTTCCAGACTTGCTCTGTGAAGGTAAATGTGGAGTCTTGCTCTTCATTGATGGACAAAATGCCCAAGCAACTGTCCTAAAGCAGGAGTATGGGGAAGGAGGGGGGAGGGGGAGAGAGGCGGGGGGGGGGGGGGGAGAGGAAAACTGGCCTTTTCAAAAAGGGACTCCCAAGATTTCACTCCCTTCTGTGAACAAGTGGACAAACATGCCTGACCACAGACCTATTTGCAACGTCTATTTCTTGGCCTTGGAGAAAGACCAGAACGAGGATTTCAAGGGCTAGAAGCACAGAGACAGAATGGCAACAATAGAAACCTGCCCCTGGGTACCTTTTTCCTCTTGAGCATCTGTCTCTATAAACAGAGTGATTTAAAAAAAAAAACAATAGTAAGAATTTTAAAAAAAATCTTGCAATTTCATGGAGCTAGAGAGAAAACTGAGCCCTGGAAAGGCCCCCCGTGTTAAGAGCAGAGGCCAGTCTGAAACAGATCGCTCTTCCCACAGCTACGACCACACAGCGGATGACTGGTCTGCCCTTTGGGGCTGGGGTGATGTAACTCAGGCTTCTCCATCCGCCCTGAACCCCCAGTCCAGTTGCCTGCCAGAGGGAGAATAAATTCTCTCTGGAGGAAAATAAACTAGCCAGAATCTCAAATTAGCTCCAGCATAGTTAATAGGCAACATTCAGAATTCAAGCAGAACCACGAAAGGGAGGGGAAAAAAAGAAAACAGAAATACACTCGTAGGAGATCCACATGCTGGAATGATCAGAAATGAAATGGAAAAGAATGGCAATTCATAAAAGGAGACTACAAAGACGGATTTCAGCAGAGGCCTTAAGACACCATAAAAGTTGGTTAATTATACAACTGAGGAATGAAACCCATCATAATTGGAACTAAAGAATGGATGGTGACTTTTAAGATGTCAGAAAATATCTAGAGGCACAGGAGTAATGGGAAAATACACCGAGCTAGCTGCACATGATAAAAAGGTCTGCATGCACGTAGGGTATCAAAATTATTAATAATAGAGTGATGGCTGAATTTTTTTACACAATGAATGGAAGAATCATGGAATTAATGAAATAATTATCCAACTGCAGACGAAAAGAAAATTGATAAACTCCAAAGAAAAGGTCAAGAATCATGGTGCATGCCTATAATCCTAGCTGCTCTGGAGATAGAGGCAGAAAGATCTTGAATTTGAGGCCAGTCACGAAAAGTTAGTAAGACTTATTTCAAAAACAACATACAAGTGGGCCCTAGTGGCTCACACCTGTCATCCTGGCTACTTTGGAGGCTGAGATCTAAGGATTGGGGTTCAAAGCCAGCCTGGGTAAGAAAATCCATAAGACTCTTATCTCTAATGAGCCACCAGGAAACCAGAAGTGGAGCTGTGGCTCAAGTGGTAGAGTGCTCGCCTTGAGTTGAAGAGCTCAAGGACAGCACCCAGGCCCTGAGTTCAAGCCCCATGGCCAACAAAAGCAAAAACAATCTATCAGAAGGGCTGAGGGTAAATCACTTGCTTAGCATGTATTGGTCCCTGGCATTTAATCCCCAGTACTAGGAAGGGAAGAATAGAAAACAGGGGAGGGAGGGAGGGAAAAGAAGGAACAAGGATGGAAGGAAAAGAAGAAAGGAAAAAGGGAAGGAAGGCAGGCAGGCAGGCCAAAGTAGGCAAACCACTGCTAAACTAAAAACAAACAACAAAGAGAAAGAAACTGAAGAGACCCAACCTTCAAAGAAGAAACAGAAACCCACAGCAGACTTCTTGACTGAAAATATGGGAACAATAGGACAATGGAGTGTCAACGGGTGTGGTTCCGCAGCACAGAGAGGTAGAGACAGAAGGATGGCCAATTGGAGGGCAGCCTGGGCTGCACAGGGAGACCCTGTCTCAGCAACAAACCAAATGGGGCTGGGAAAGTGGCTCAGGGGTAGAGCGCTTGCCTTGCATGCTCGAGGCCCTGGGTTCGATTCCTCAGCACCACATAAGAAAAAAAGCCAGAAGTGGCGCTGTGGCTCAAGTGGTAGAGCGCTAGCCTTGAGCTGAAGAGCTAAGGGACAGCGCCCAGGCCCAGAGTTCAGGCCCCACGACCGGACCCAAAAGAAAAAAAAAAAAAGAGAAACAAACCAAATGTCACGGGCATGCCATCTTAGAAACTGACAGGACAACAAGACACATCAGAACTCCAAATCTAGCCCCAAAGGCCTTCAAAATCCAGTTAAAAAAAAAAAAAAGCTGGCTGGGAAGGTGGCTCAGTGTTAGAGTGCTTGCCTGGCATGCATGAAGCCCTGGGTTCGATTCCTCAGCACCACAGACACAGAAAAAGCCAGCAGTGGTGCTGTGGCTCAAGTGGTAGAGCGCCAGGCTTGATCAAAAGCAGCTCAGGGACAGTGCCTAGGCCCTGAGTTCAAGCCCTAGGGCTGGGAGCTAAAAAAAAAAAAAAAAAGCAATTTCGACATCTAGTCTCTCCCGGCCCTGTCTTTCCAAAGTCCCCATTAGCTTAGTATCAGTTACCGGGTGAGTTCTGGAAACCAGGCCAGCCAACAGTCTTAGCTTATCTTCCCTCAGCCTTGCAGCTCTTTCTCCTCGGGACCCGGTGTGCGGCTCACCTGGGCCCAGCCTGGATCCAGGGAGAAAGACAAAACCCACCTCCCTTCTCCAGGTGGCGTGTCCAAGCGCACGCTCTACTGCGTTGTCTTCTAGATCGGGGTGACATCCTGAGCTATTTCTCTACTGGGCTTTTCCTCCTGGGTCTAAGGAAGAGCACCTGCCCGGCGCTGAAGTAGGCCTGTCTAGTATTCTAGATTAGTGGGTAGAAAACGCGGCTGCCCTCTGCACACTACCGGGTGTGGAAAGCAGAGTTCTGGGAAGGAAAGGAAACTTTCTCAGTGGGAAGGGTCTTCGGGGACGCTGGCGGAGGTGGGTCTCAGGCTCCTCCCCGCCCTTCCCCTGGCCTGGTTCATACGCTCACGCTTCCCGTCTTCACCCCAGGCAGTACATTTCTTCCTCCCTTATAGTCCTTATAGGATCTTATAGTCCTGCAGCCCGTGCCGCACACCCTGACAGAGGGGCCGCAAGAAGACTGGACAGGGCAGCTCACGGGGACGGCTCTCCCCAGCTGGCCACCTTGCTCCCCGGCTCTTGACCATCCAGCCCCCCTGGGTCAGAGTTAGTGGCTCTAGAGATCAGTGATGGATCACACACAAGTCCTGGGATTTTGGTTTTAAATCTGAGGTGGTAGGAATTGAACTCAAGGCCTCAGGCTTGCTAGTCGAATGCTCTAGACCTTTTTCTTTCCTTTGTTTCCTTGGCTAGGGTCTCCTGGCTTTTTGCCCTGGCCTACCTCAAGACTGCAAACCTCCTACTTCTTCTGCCTCTAGAGTGGCTTGGGGGTAAGGGACGTGACACACTGACACCTGGCTGACTTGTTGAGAGGTGGTCTTAACCAATTTTCTGCCTCGGCTGGCCTCTTACCTGGATAACCCTCCACCTAGAGCAGCTGGGATTGATTGAAAGTGAGAGCCACTGCGCCCAGCCCTGAAGCCTTTCCCGGAGCTAGAAAGCTCCCGGAAAAAATTCTCTGTCACCTCCCTCCCTTCCTCCCTCCCTCCTTCCTTCCCCCTTCCCCTCCCTCTCTCATAATCCTGTTAGCTTTAAGGCTCTACACACAGAGACCTAATGTGAATGAATAACAAGGCCTGGCTGGCCAATGGCCAGGCCCTAGAAACCATGAAAACAAAGGGTCGGACAAAAAGATCTCAAGCGTGGCTCCAGAGAGCCAGTCTGGTGGTTTCTTCAAAGACTTTGCGCGTGTGTTCAAAACCCCTTGACCTGGTAATCCCACTCTGGGGAGATTATTCAGTGGAAAGAGTTCACAAAACAAGGACAGGCAAAACAAAACCCTTCTAGCATGCGAAGGTTCGCCGTGCAAATGTTTTAGGCTCTGTAAGGAGAAACAGCTGTTGAGGCGGCTTCACGCGCCCCCCCCCCTCCAGCCCCCCAAAACTGTCTACTGACACCCTCCCAAACCTAGCACGGGACAGTACAATCACAGAACCCCACTTCCCCACCCCCCAAAAAACAAAAACCCAGTGCAGGTACAGTACAAGGTCAGGAGAGAATACGGATGCTGGAAAGAGGAGGAGGGATGTTTTTGTTGGCTGGTTGCTTAATGTTTTCCTTTAGGACATGAAATGGCTGTCTTATTAGCAGGCAAGGGGAGTTTGTCAAGAACCCAAGGGTGCCCTCGCGGGTCGGCAGAGGTTACCACCTTGTTTAGCTGTCTCCAGCAAGGCTGTCTAGGACATGGGACAGGTCAAGGGCAACAGAAGCTGTCTCCTGGCCAGACATGGTAGGGTTTGCCTGTAATCCCAGCACAAGCGATGATAAAAATGGGAACCTCACCGTCACCGATGGGCTATGGTTATCATAGCTCACCGGGTCTTTGAGGGATGGCTAACTCACTCACTCCATTCATTCATTCATTTATTCATTCATGAATGACAAGAGTTTCCATTCTACCACTTGAGCCAGAGTCCCACTTTTGGCTTTTTGGTGGTAAGGAACCTCAAGGATTTTCCTATCCAGGATGGCTTTGAACCTTGATCCTCAGATCTCGAGCCTCCTGAGCCACTGGTGCCCAGCTCAGTTCTTGGCTCGGGGTCTAGAGCAGCACCACGACTGGCAGGAAGGGCTTCATCTCCCCATCTGTAGCTGGGCAGAGAGAGGAACTCAGGAGAAGCCCCCCCCCTGCCCCATGCCAACCCTGCTCCCCATCTTCCAGCTGGGTGACATCGGCCAAGGGGTTCCGCCCGTCTGCTTGCGGTTTCCTCACCCAAATACCATGCTGAGCCCTGGGGCAGGAGCAGTCTCAAGAGATGGCTTTAAGAGCACCCCGAGATCATGACACGTAAGATATCATGACCTTTCCCCCCGCTACCCCCCCCCCACACACACAGAGAAAGGGCCCAGCTGCGTTCCCACCCTTCTCCCACACAGCAGGACGGGTTCCTGTGGCTGTCACGTGGTGAGTCAGCTTCCGCCATCTTCCTTCAACCAGTCTTCTCTCAACTCCCCAATCCCCAGGGCCTTCACTGATCAACAGGAAAAGTTGGGTGTTGGCCGCTGCTTTGGGGTCACGGGGGGATTTCCAGAGCCCGGAGCAGGGCTGAGTTAACCCAGGAAGAGGAGGAGGGAGCCGCCCTGCTGGACACCGCTGGAGTGGGGCAGCAGGTGCTGCATCAGGCTGACGTCATGGGTCTGGGACACACCCCAGCACTGGGGCCCAACCCACGGAGAGGAGGGGGGGGGGGGACTTGCCTGGTGGAAAGGGCAGGGATGTACTGGGGCAGGGCTGGGTAAAATGACTGCACAACCGAGAGCTGAGTATGTAGAAAGAATTTTCCAAGTCTCAAGAAGTAAGGCTAAGCCGGGCACGGGTGACTCACGCCTGTTCATCCTAGCTACTCGGGGAGGCTGAAATCTGAGGATCATGGTGCAAAGCCAGCCCCGGGTAGGAAAGTCCGTGAGACTCTGATTTCCAAGAAACCAACAGAGAACCGGAAGTGGCGCTGTGGCTCAAGTGGTAGAGCGCTTGCCTTGAGCAAAAGAGCTCAGGGACAGCGCCCAGGCCCAGATCCATGACTGGGGGGGGGGGGGGGGGGGGGAGAGACAGAGGGTACGCAGCAGCTGGCAAGGATGCCGTTTTCTGTGTGCCAGCTTTCCAGGACACCTCCCACTTTATCAAGGCAGTAAGTGGGGGCCTGGGGAGGGGAACTGCTTTGGGGATGAGTCACCAAGGTCACTGCCCAGGCAAAGTTAGCCAAAGAAGGTTAGCGGGGACAAAGAAGCCACAGCCCAGACGACAGCAAAGGAGCCCTTTTGGGGGGTACGTCCTTCCTTTTCCACAGATCTGGCCTGAATAAAGCCACCTGCCAGGGCTTACTGTTACCCCATGGGAATCTGGTCTCATAGAAATGGGTTCAGATTTATCCTGCGAGAGAATTTAAGATACATTCTCAAAAGGAAATTATGGGTGGGGGGGGGAACGGCAGGAAGTTTTGAACTCAGGACTTCAAAACCATGTTTGATCGGTGCTCTGTTATGTGAGCCACGCGTTCTGATTAAAAAAAAAAAGTCTAGTATTACTGCCTGGGCGTAAGCCCTGGACTATATTTTCCCTACTTCTTTTTTTTTCTTTTTCTTTGCCAGTCCTGGGGCTTGAACTCAGGGCCTGGGCGTCGTCCCTGAGCTTCTTTTGCTCAAGATTAGCACTCTACCACTTGAGCCACACAGCACCACTTCCAGCTTTTTCTGTGTCTGTGGTACTGAGGAATCGAACTCAGGGCTTCATGCATGCTAGGCGAGCGCTCTACCACTGAGCCACCTTCCCATCCCCCTATACCCCCGCTACTTTGTCTGCCGTGAGGCCTTGGTGCTGTCCCAGAGCTTGATTGTTCAAGGCTAGCGCTCGACCACTCAAACCACAGCTCCACCCCTAGTGTTCTGGTGGTTCGTTGGAGATGAGAGTCTCACGGACTTTTCCTGCCCGGGCTGGCTTTGAACCTGGATCCTCAGATCTCAGCCTCCCACGGCAGTTGGGATGACAGGCGTGAGCCACGGGCGCCCGGCTTCCTTTGGGCTTTTGTTACAAATAAAACCACCTATGACCGAGAGCCCAAGTTTTCCCCAGCCCAGTTTCCTCCCTGCTGCCCCAGCGCTGACCTGACCGCAGCTTCTCCCGCTCCATGCACGCACTGACACCCTACTTTTGCTTTTCCTGCATCACGCTTCCTCCATAAAAACACTTCCTCTGTGTCCCTCCACAGAAAGCCGGGTGGAGGTTGACCACTGCTGCCCCCTGCTGGCCCCTCCCCATCCACCCAAGGACCTGTAATGGTGTCTGTACACAGAGCAGACCCACATTGAAGTCAGCACTTGCTGACTGAATTAATGTGCGCACATCGTCACTTGTGGGTTTCTCAATTAAGGAGCTGCTCAGGAGGCTGAGAACTTGAGGATCAAGGTTCAAAGCCAGCCTATGCAGGAAAGGCCAGGGGTGAGACCCTTATCTCCAATTAACCTAAAAAAAAAAACAAAAAACAGAAGTGGAGCTGTGGCTCAAAATGGTAAGAGTGCTAAGCTTGAGCAACAAGCTCAAGGACAGCACCCCATGACTGAATACACACACCCCCAAAAAGTAAGAGAAAGAGAGAAAATAGAAAGACAGAAAGGAAGGAAGGAAGGGAGGGAGGGAAGGAGGGATGCAAGGAGGGAGGGAGGGAGGGAGGGAGGAGGCCCTGTCTACTGGGAGAGTTGGGGATCTCTTTTTCTGCAGGGCTGAGCACAGCTCGGGGAAAGCTGCCCACAGACTCTACCTGTGCTTCTCGCCTTCCTCCTCCTCTTCTCTGAGCTGCTTGGTCTTTGGTTCCCCATCCTTGTCCTGCAGAAGAAAGGGAGAAAGCCACCTGCTCAGAGCCACGCCTCCTCCCAGGCCACGCCCCTGGGGAGATCAGGGGAGAAGCAGGACATCTCAGGGGCCAGATGTACTTTGAAAAGGGTTAGCTCAGCGCCCCCTGGCATCTGACAGGTATATCGTGGACTAATAAAATTAGTCCCACCCACTCACCCCCACTGCCCGGGCAGAGTTTTAAAAATGCATGGCCCCGGTTGGGCACTGGTGGCTCACCCCTGTCATCCTAGCTACTCAGGAGGCTGAGATCTGAGGATCGAGGTTCAAAGCCAGCCCAGGCAGGACAGTCCGTGAGACTCTTATCTCCAATGAGCCACCAGAAAACCGGAAGTGGCGCTGTGGCTCAAGTGGTAGAGCGCTCGCCTTGAGCTGAAGAGCTGAGGAACAGCGCCCAGGCCCTGAGTTCAAGCCCCATGGCCGACAAAACAAAACAAAAAAACTGCTTAGACTAGCTCTGACAACCTCCTCCTTGAAAGGGGGGCGTCTGCCGCCAGTCACTCCCTGCTAGTGCTGACTGGAGAGACCTTGAGGGCCAGGACCATACCCCACGATTCGCGGGCCACACAACTTCCGAGGGGAATGAGATCGTCCAAACTGGGGTGGAGGCTGGCCGGGGGAATACGTCCCGACGCCTCTCCTCACCTAGCTCAACCTAGAGCGGCTGTTCTCTTAGGGACCAGGCAGCCGGGGAAGAAAATAAGTGACACCAGTTAAGTGTCACTTAGGACAAGTCACCACGAGAGAGCGATCGGCGTGGCCGGTGTGGTGTGGGGGATGGGTGGGGGACGTGGCTGCTGGGGGAACCGGATAGGATGGGGGGGCGGGGGGGGGGGGAGCCGGTGTGAGTCAGGTGGAAGCCAACAGCAGACAGCTCAGTCCAGGCTGGTGAAGGGCACACCGATCTCGGCTGGGCACCTGGAGGGAAACTGATTGCCAACCCACAGGAAGCTAACGAAGCTGCTCGCTGGAGGGGCTCTGCCTGGCAGAGGAATGGGCCACTCTGCCAAAGGTTGTGTGGCCAATGTGTGTGCCTTCCCATAATACTCAGCCAGCCCGGCCTTGGGGGGAGGGAGGAGGGAGGAGGGCCTCCTCCCAGGATGCCCCCAGACGAGCGCAAATGCCAAGTTAGTCATTCGTAAGTGAGAAAACACCCAAGTATCTAAATGACATTTCAAATTCACTCAGCCCGTCTGGCGGGTTCCGCCTGCTTTCCACAAGCAGCCCAAGACCCCCCACCTCCTCCCCCCCCTGCATTGGGGTGCTGAGCAGCAGGGCACCGACCAATATAGGAGGGCAGGGCAGGCTACGCGGGGCTGGGCCCAGGTACATTCCAGCCTTTCAGTTCAAATGTGACCCCAACAGCTGGGTAATTCAAGCTTCTCAGGGAGCTGAGATCGGAGGATTGTGGTTCAAAGCCAGCCCCAGGCAGGAAAGGCCATGAGACGCTTATCTCCAATAAACACTAGAAAACCGGAAGTGGCGCTGTAGCTCAAGTGGTAGAGCGCTCGCCTTGAGCTGAAGAGCTGAGGGACGGCGCCCAGGCCCAGAGTCCAAGCCCCAAGACCGATCAAAACAATAACTGAATAAATCACAATGGAAGAGTTCCAGGGTTATCCATCTGAAGTCTTCCACAACACTTGGGGTGGCTTGGGAAATGACTAGGTTGGGGGGGGGGGGGGCGGATAGTCTGTTCAAGGTCACAGAACCTGTCCGTGGTAGCTGCAGGTCGGGGTCAGTGTCTTGCCTGTCCTGTCCCTGAGCTTTAGCCAAGGAGCTGAGAGACCGCGGATAAAAGGGTGCTGAGTTTCTAAAACCGGCTCTGACCTCAACCACCTTCCCCGTCTCTCTCCACGTGGTCACATCAGGTCACATGAGCTGCCCAGGCCCCCGCTCTGCTGGTGGGAAGCTGTCCTCAGGATCCACAGACGCTTTGCACATCCTAACGCTTCTCTTTGGGGGGGAGGGTCAGTCGTGAACTCAGGACCTAGATGGTGTCCCGGAGCCTTTGTGTTCAAGGCCAGTGTTCTACCACCTTTGAGCCACGGCTCCGCTTCTTTCTGGTGGTTCACTGGGGATAAAAGTCTCATGCACTTTCCTGTCTGGCCTTGAACTGGGATCCTCAGATCTCAGCCTCCTGAGTAGCTAGGATGACAGGCGTGAGCCACGGAGTCCTGGCTTCCATCCTAATGCTCTTGAGTCAGGCTGTGACTAAACTTTACCCTCCCCAACTCCCTCTCCCTTTTCTCCCTCCTTCCTCATCCTGTTCCTAACCCTACATGCCTCTTGCTCTGCCCAGGGTCCTGACAAGCAAGCCTTCAACCACTCCCCTTCCCCACTACCCCCTCCCCCTCCCCCCCCCCCCACCACACGACTCTCTACTTTTGACCACTTTTGCTTTTTGCCACCCCATCTCCAAACATCTCTGGGAAGTTGTGTTCTGAGGCAGGTGCACTGTAGGTGGAGGAAGGGAAGGCAGAGACAGGTCAAAGAGTCAGCTTTTAGAGAGGGACATTCTATGTGCTGTTGCAGGGTTGTCTGCCCTTAGCTTAGATCTTTCCAGAAGCAGCTGAAGACCCCAAAGGACCTCTAGGTCCAGATGAACAACTTCTCTGGCTATCAGTCTGCTCTCATTGTCAGGAGAATTAGTCCTTTATGGAATGAGAAGTAAGGCCTCAAAAACCCTAGTGTTGCCGGGTACAAATGGCTCACGTCTGTAATCCTAGGTACTCAGGAGGCTAAGATCTGAGGATCGTGGTTCAAAGCCAGCCCAAGCAAGAAAGTCCATGAGACACTTCTCTCCAATAAACCACCAGAAAACTGGAAGTGGCGCTGTGGCTCAAGTGGTAGAGCGCTCGCCTTGAGCTGAAGAGCTCGTGGACAGCGCCCAGGCCTAGACTTCAAGCCGCACAACCGAACGAAAAACAAAAACCCCCCAAACCCTGGAGCACTAGAGGAGGCGAAGCCTGAGACTTCCCAGGTCTGAGTTGATTTTCCTGGGTGAGGAAGAAATCAGAAAGCAGAGCTGGGCACCGGTGGCTCACACCTGTCATCCCAGCTACTTAGGAGGCTGAGATCTGAGGATCAGGGTTCCAAGCCAGCCCAGGCAGAAAAGTCCATGAGACTCTTACCTCCAATTGATTGCCAAAAAGAGGGAAATGGAACTGTGGCTCAAGTGGTAGAGTGCTATAGCCTTGAGCAAAAAAGCTCGGGGACAGCTCCCAGGACTGGCACACGCACGTGTGCATACATACACACACACACACACACATTCAGAAATCAGGTGCTTGAGGGGAGCAGGAGGAGACTGTGTGTTAAGCGAATCTGGCAGGTTCCTCAACTTCACCCAGTTCCACATGCTGGGGTGGAGGGACTTCCGGTGGGGTGCGGTGGCACTGGGGAGCTGTGTTCCAAGGGCATTTAAGGGGTAGGTAATGCAGCCACCCCAACTCTGACTCACCCTTGATGATGGAAGGATAAGCTCTGGGCTGGATGCCACCATGCCTGGACCCAGAAGCTTCATGCTCTCTGTGGCTCAGAGACTGGCAGCAGGGGGGGTGGGGGGGAAGGGGAGGCCCTCACTTTCCCAGACAGACTGTGATCTGTCAGGTCATCGAGGTCCCAGCCTTCTACCTACTGCTAGGATTTCCTGGCTGGCAGTGTCCGATCTGCCTGTCTGTGGAGTTGTGAGTTCTTATACCCACCAGCCAGAGAGGAACTGCACGCGCAGAGCACGGGGTTGGGGGGGGGGGGGGACCGAGGCCAGGGAGGAGGACTCATCTCCTCCTGGTCCTGGCTGTGAGGCCTTGGGCTGGTTAGTACCATCCTCTGGGCCTCAGTTTCCTCTGTAGAGACACAGGGGCCATCGGCTGATGTGAAATGCGCTGGCGAAAGCGGATCTTCTGCCTCCTTGGTGAGCGAGTGTTACAGGGGAAAAGAGGCTGTGTGTGTGTGTGTGTGTGTGTGTGTGTGTGTGTCTGTCTGTCTGTCTGTCTGTCTGTGTGTGTGTGTCTGTGTGTGCAGGCGTTCCCTTGAGGCTGGTGAACAGAGGAAGAAGCCAGCAGGGCTGGGAAGCTGGAGATAAGGCCCGAGATAATCAAGGCCGGAACTGGGTCAGGCGGTATGGTGGTGGTACAGGACCCGGGCTGTGGGTGAAGACGGGGGCGGAGCCAGTCGGGGGATTGGTGCTGGTGACTCACTGGGAGAAGGCAGGCGCCTCTTGACAAAAAAGAGTGACGGGTAGGGACAAAGAGAGGGTGCGGCCGCTTTCAGGCACACTGGGGCTTGAGGTGGGGTGACTCTAAGTCTGCCCAAGGGAGGCGGGTGCAGACCGAGATGGAGACAGAGGCTGGGGGGGGGGGGGGTCAGTGCAGCAGGAAAGGAAACCCCTTTCCTCACAGAACTGAGCCACGTGTGCCCCACCCCCACGGTCCATAGCACATGGTGAGGCCACGCAACAGAGAAAAAGAGCAGAGTATAGCCCAGTCCCCGGCTTTCCCCAGGAACCCTTCAGGCTGAGTCCATTCCCATTCTTGTCAATAGCTACAGCCAGGACCCCAGCCGCAAGGTCGGTGAGACAGACAGATTGCATGATTGTATACACCCAGGGAATGGGGGGTGGGGGGGTGAAGACTTCAATCTCAAAGCTGACCACAACCAAAAGCTAGTGGTATGCTCCACCTGGTAGAGCACCCAGTCAAGCAAATGTGAGACCCAAGTGCCATCAAAAAACAAATTAAATTAAATGGTGCCAAGGCTTGGGTGTTTTTTTTCTGCGCAACAGCCGGAGAAATATGACCCTGTGCATTCCTAAGCCAAATGAGAAAAAACAAGAATCGGGGAGGGCAGCAAAGACTTCAAATGCCTTGTGGTGCAGTGAGAACTAGATCCGGCAGCCAGGAACACGTTATGATCTCAAATGAGATCTTCCACCTGGTAAGAGCTGAGAATCTGGGGTCAGGACTCTGACATAG